AAGACTCCATCGCCTGTCGACTCTCAGTCAAGAGTCAGAAGACGGTTGTAATGGAGTCTCAATTACCGCAAGAATATATCGAAAGTATGCATAAAATGGAGGCACAAATGGCTCAAAGACCTTATACGCCAAGAGATGAGACCCAACAACCAGTTGCGCCCAAATTCATGACAAAAATTAAAAATTTAGACAAATTAGAGGGCGATTCCGCACATTTCGAGTGTAGATTAGAGCCCATCAATGACTCTACTATGAGAGTCGAGTGGTATTTAAATGACCAGCCGTTAAGCACTGGTAATTAAGATGATTAAACATAATAATCATTGATTAGTGATCGTTAAAAAAGTGATACAAATATTTAAATTGTTGTAATATTTGAAAATTGCGAGACAAGTGTTGGCTAAATGCCAAACAATTTAAACACGATATTTAGGATCGGGTTTCTAAAAGTCCCTAATATTAAAGGTAAGTTATAAAACAAATAAATTATTTATTTAAACATGAAGCTTTGGTTAGTGTAACAAATATTACAAATATACAGTAACAGAAAATCATAATACATATAAAAAATATATAATTATATTGGATTTACTATTTATAACAAATACAGAATTAAAGTCCGATACAAAACAAATATCTCATTTAATTTCTTTAAGATGTCTTTAATTTTAGACAATTTAAGTAATCAATGGGTTTAACATAAGAAAAGTCTATTTCATTAGAAACCCGATTCTAAATATCGTGTTTAAATTGTTTGGTATTAAACAAACACTTGTCTCGCAATTTTCAAATATTACAACAATTTAAATATTTTTATCACTTTTTTAACGGTCACTAATCAATGATTATAAATTATAATTTATAATTGATAAATGTATTTAATTGGTTTGGTTTATAGGCTCACGAATTCATACAATTAACGACTTTGGATATGTTGTACTGGAAATTGATTGGCTTTTCCCACGCGATTCCGGTGTTTATAAATGTGTGGCCACTAATGCCTGGGGTTCGGACACAACGCAGGCTGTGGTGAACGTGAAGGGTATTTACCGCTTGTTATTAGAAATTCATTTGTAATTTAACGATAAATTAATTACAGCCAAAAAGGATATCGTAGTCGACAGTCAATTGCCTCCCGGAGTGTCGTCACAGCTCTGGAAGCGTCAGGAATACGCTCTCATTCAGGAGGGCTTATCCGAAGATGTGTCGCAACAAATGCCACGATTTGTCACAGAAATGAAATCATTGGATCACTTGACAGAAGGCGATAACATTCACTTCGAGTGCCGACTCGAGCCCATAAGCGATGGCCAGTTGACCGTTAAGTGGCTCCATAACGGGCAGCCCTTGCGCTCCGGCCATCGGCACAAAGCTATACACGACTTTGGTTTTGTCTCTCTCGACATACTGTCTGCATATCCAGAGGTTTGGAGTTTAGATTTAGTGACTTTTAATTGTATTTATTACTGAATTATAAACGTTTTTCTCTGCGATAGGATTCTGGAGAATATATTTGTCGCGCGAAATCACCGAAAGGCGAGACTGAGATCAGGGCTACAGTGAAAGTGAAGGCCAGACCTTCACTGATAACGACTTCCCAATTGCCGACAGAGATGTCATTAGCGATCAACCGAATGATAGAAACGGAGTCTTCAACACAATTGTTAGTAACAGTTATATTGAAGTGTTTTTTTAACCACAATGTTAATCCCATGGCTATACTTTAACATGGGGAGACTCATAGTACAGGTTTTGTATTAGCATTGAAAGCTTTAACATGCTGTCTCTATGGAATTACAGCTTAAGTTTATGACATAAGCAGGACGTCCCAAAAGTTGAATAAAAGTTAGGCTTTTCCTATATGCTCCCATAGACAATACATTACAGTTTACCCTCACATTACCCTCATTTACCCGCACTGGGAAACGTTGGACATAAGCATAAAACATAGGTAATGCTAAGTCTATGGCGATGCTAATTCTATGAGCAATGTTAAGTCTATAGCATAGGTTTAACATGGGTAATGCTATTGACGATAAGTCTATGACGATGATAATTCTATGGGTAATGCTGTGTCTATGGCAATACTAATCCTATTGTTAATGTCATATGGGCCATACCGTATGGCAATGCTAATCCTATGGGTAATGTTAATTCTATGATTTAAGGTTAACATGGGTAATGCTAAGTCTATGGCAATGCTAAGCCTTTGGGATTTGACAAATTTGACAATTAAAATAACATTAAATATTGTTAACAATATTGAATACATCCTAACAATACCATTGAAAATATTCAATACATTTCATAATTATGGTTAATGTACACATCGCTGTGTGAACCTTGTTTGTGATAAATAAAGATATATTAATATTGATGTAAACAGAATCGAGACGACCGAAGAGGAGATTAGAAGAATGGCACCAAATTTTGTGTTAAAACCCGAACCGTTGGTTGTGTTAGAGGGAGAGTGCGCTAAATTTTGTTGTCGGCTAATCGGGAGCCCAAAGCCCAGAGTGTTGTGGAGTATTGGCGGCAATACTGTGGTTCACGGATCGCGTTATAAACTCCGTTACGACGGTATGTATCACTTGGAGATTCCCAAAGCGCGTCAATACGATAAGGGAATACTCGAAGTGTACGCCAAGAATGCGGTCGGAGAGGCCTATTGTAGCACCACTTTCGACGTCAAGGCCCGCAACGATGACTACCGACTCGTTCTCAAACATTCGCCCAAACGTGAGATCATTGAAACATATTGTGTCCAAAATATGTGATAATAATTGCGATGATTGTGTGTTGTATAGCGTATTACGACGACGATGTGGCCAAATATCAAATCGAGAGACAAAACTCAGAGTTGGAAAAGGTTTTCGAAGAGAGACTGACTCCGGGCGGCACCGAAGAGATGGTGTGGTATACGGGACAAGTGGACCAACAGAATCGCGTCAAAATCAGAGACACTGTCAAAGACGACACCACTATTGACTCGGATGTGACGCTTTGCATGAAACAGACGCCCGACGTTCAGACCGCCGACCAAATGGCGGCAAAACCCAAGAGAATATTCATTAAATCGCAAACAAAGCCCAAAGAGATTGGAGAAGAAGTTCCGCCAATTGTTGCGCCGGAAGTGAAAACTGTTGACAAACGTCAGCCAATTGTGACCGAAGAAAAGGTAAGCGAAAAGAAGCAACAAATCGTTGAGAGAGAAGCTGTGACTCCGGAGAGTGTTATTCACGGCAAAGAAGTTGTCGTTCAGACACAGAAACAGACCCTAAAACAGGAGACGGCCGACGAGGAGATCACTCGACACATGCGAGAGACTGAAAGCGTAGATCACGAGCACAAGTCTGTCATCAAACAGCGCAAAGTGATTGGAAAAGTGGCCGAAACTAAGGCACCGATGTTTACGCGAAAGATAGCCCCGTGTCGTACGTACGAGAAATGTGAGGCCCGTTTCGAGTGCACGTTCGCCGGTCTTCCCCTTCCGACCATCACTTGGTTTCGGGAGAACTTTCCCATTCAGGACTCACACGACTTCAATGTATTATTTTATATTATTATCAATTTATTATTCAATTTTTCAATCAATGATTTTGTGTTTTTAGATAATAACAACTGAAAACACTTCAGTTCTTGTGATCCGTGAGGTATACGTCGAGGACTCGGGTATATTCAGCGTTAAAGCCGAGAATAGGGGCGGTTCTGCCAAATGCTCAGCAAATTTGATTGTTGAAGGTATTTATGAAATATTTAGCGACTATTTAAATGTATAGATTTTAATTTAAGCGTATAAACGCACAATATCAACCTGTGTTGAGTGCGCGACGTTTTTTAAAAAACAATAAATTCAAATTCAAATTTAAGTTCAAATTCAAGCTTATTTTGTACACAATTCAGAACATCGGGAAATCAAAAGCGGAGATTTCATTCCTCCGTGTTTTGTGAAGACAATCCAATGCGTGACCACAAAAGTGGGTCAATTGATCCGATTGGACGCCAAGATTAGCGGCTCTAAACCGATGGACGTGTATTGGCTAAAGAATGGCGAAAGGATTCAACAAACAAAGAGACATAAGATGGTTGAGGACGAAGACCAGTACACACTACTCATCATTGAGGCCGAGACCAGTGACGGCGGCTCTTATGAATGCGCGGCCATTAATAAGGCGGGAGAGGCTCACTGTATCGCTCAGGTGCTCATCGAAGAGCAGGTCATTATCCGGCAATTGTCCAAAGAAGAAATGGTACCCAAACTACTGGAACCGCTGCACGACGTGGTTGTGAAAGAAGGACAGTCCGCTCTTTTCAAATGTCGAATAAGCGGAACGTCTTGTAAATAATCAAATCTTATTAA